TTCTACGGCTTCATTACTATGAAAAAACTAAACAGACGAGACCCAGCAGATTGGGTGTTGAAAATCTAAATACTTAATTTTCAGTATTTTAACTTTTGTGGTTCTTAACATCCATTGTATGGCGTGTACCCATACACACACACACACAAAATCAATCTGAATTTTTGAGACATTATGGGAAATTTCAGTTCGCTACAGATAAAATTAATACATAGCTTTAATGAACATACGATACACAAGGTCTTTTGTTCTTAATTTGCATCAAATGGGAAAAAAAGATAGAAGCACCTATAAATACTGATGAAAACAGATATAGATGAAGTCAACAGTAATTTGCTGGCACAAAATAGGAGTAGAAGTCAATGTCATTTTAAAGATAAACATGCATTTTTCATACCAATAAATAATGCTGTAAATCCTGCCGTACTGGATTGCAAATAACTTCAGCTGAATAAAACTGCATGACGTGGGATTTACTTATCCTGTATGTTCACAGAAACAACTTGTTCTCTGACAGCACTCCTTCTTGGCAATTTATTGCAGCTGTCAGCAGCCAATTTGTTCAGATTACTGCTATGCGTAAAGGTGTAACGATCATGAGGATTTATTAGCTGATTATCGTAAAGGTGACAGCCAGGATCGCCTTCAAAATCACAGACGATAAGAAAGTTAAATAATTACATGACTATTAAAATAATTTCACCTTCATTCAGATCTTAGTGTTACCTACGTAAACTTCCTGCAGTATATGTTTTTAATCACCGGAGTACATTGACTCAATACGGAAGAGAAATTATATACTCATAGCAAAAATGTGTGAATATTAAACGTAATCAAACTGAACAATCTACACACAGATATATGTATTTCTACCTATGACTAACACTACTCATGCAAGTCCACATGCTTATTCGAAGGCAAGAAGGCTGCCCCTGTGGCTTTAGCTGCTGTGGCTTTCCAAAAAAAAAACTTCTAGACCTCATGCCTTTGGTCCTGGAATGCTGTGGGTTTTTTTAAAATGTGATATTCAGAAGAACACCAGAATTTAAACTCCTGCATGATGAAGCTCAGTTCTGGTCAAGTCCACTGTCTCCTCATTCAAATCAGCATATGATCAGAAAGGTGTTTTCCTCTAAGTTTTTGTATGAGGCCTTTTTCCAGGCTTTTGAAATGCCAAAAAAAAAAAAAAAACCTGAAAGGGTTCTAGGATTTGGGGTTTTTAGAGTATTCTAAGAAGGATGTTCACAAGGTGCTACATCCTTTAAACTTCCATGGAGAATGCACACAACTCAAATGAATTTTACAAACACATTATGCTCAAAATTAAGAACGGAAATCAATCAGTCAGCATCTCATTTCAAGAACCGCCATCCTGAATGTGCCAGGGCACCAAGATGAAGATGGAGCTTTACGCTAGCTCTGTGATGGACATATCTTTCTTCTTCTCTGAATTAGGATGCCATGCTGTCACTCTCATCCTCTTAATATCTTCCTCCCTCTTACAAGTCACCCCTTCCGCTTCCATCCTCTCCCTGTTGCACCACTCCAAAGCCAGAATGTCACTTCCACGTCTTCAGCCCTCTTGAGTATCTTTCCTTCACCTCCCTGCCCTCAAGAAGGGATGGCCAGCCCATGCCTCGCAGTTTGAGCACACACGCCATCGCCACCTGGTCACGTTCCCAGCTTCGTCCTGGCCCTTACTGTGTGCTCCAGCCTAACGAGTTCGATGACACAAGCGCAGCCCACAGAAGTCTATGTTCCTGATTTCTCACTTCTTGTATTTCACTGAAGTGCAGCTGAGACAAGAGTATCATTCCAGGATGACAATGTTCCACTTTGGAATAAAATTTTCAAGTTACAGAGCTTAGCACAGTAAGAACACACCAACTCATGGGGCCTTCCTGTGCTGATTTCCAGGAGGAGCCTAGCGTTTGTCCCTTCAACTTCTCACCCGTTGACCTCATTCTCCTACAGCCAGCCCAGTTGGGAATCGCTGGAACAGATTTAGGGACGGCACTCTTCAAAGGGATCCTCTGGCAAAGCAGCTCGGTCAATGATTACTTCACATGGGAAATTCTGCTGACCTTCAGCCGTGCTCTGCAAGCAGATGAATATGGAGGACACGAAGAGCCAACACTGTGGATGGGAGGTGAGAACTGCTCCTGAAACAGATTTTTTCTTCTGGTTTCTCAGTTTGCTCTGCTGTTTCTCTCAATGAGTAGCATCTCTTCAATCAAGTATGGCTTCTCTCTAACCATACTTTGGCCAGGCAGAACATCTTCAAGAGGTAATTGTTTTCATTTACATTTAACAAAAATATTCATACACAATGTAACAGCTACTGCTTGCACATTATTCAAGAAAGTGGGAAGATCACAGTAAGATGAAAGGGATTACTCTCCACCACTGACCAATGCTAGAATACTATCAGGAATTCTTTTGTTTTTCTCCAACAGCCTCATTGTCACTTTTCTTGGAACCTGAATCAGAACACTCAACTCATTACATGTGCCTTGAGAGCCACAGAGCACAACTCAGTCGTGCTTTGCAAAATTAATATACATTTAGCAAACCGCGCACACGCGCACAGAGCGAGTCCATAGTGTCTGTACCAAAGCATTTACAGCTTTTAGAGGTGGCCTCAAAATCAGGAACTGGGGAAGAGAGGTCAATGTAAAGTGGAGCTGTCAGGTGTCAGTGATTTTTATCCACAGTGACTGGAAAAGAGTATCAGGGAGGGGGAATATTAAGACCTATTTTTGTATTCAGATTGAGCTTGACAAGTGACAAAGTTTTTCATGGAAATCTTCATGGAGAGGAATTCGTTTGCAGGTTGCATTACCCAGAGATAAGGTACCAACAGAAGGTGAAATGAGTGTCTGAAAGGACAAACTGAAGAGGGATTATAGGTACAATGACAGGTCACAAAAATCAAGTGCAGCAAGATTTTGGAAAAAACATCATGATTTTTTAAAAATCAGTTATACACTGCAGAAACATGACAGATTATCTTTGTTCAAGGAGTAACTTTTTTGGTACATACAAGAATTCTATCCCTTTTGGAAAGTGATAGAAAACAAAACAAAACATTGCTATCCCACCGAAAAACACTAAGGGCTTCAAGCATTCTTCTTAGAGAGAAGCTTTGTCATGCTATCAGAGTTTTTGGGCCTCAATAAAATGTAGAAATCATTTGTTACTTGCATTAATAGCATGCAGTTACTGAAAAGAAACAGATACACACTGAAGATGTACAACTTTTGTAGGTATCTGAAAAGCTACCTAAGCAGCTAATTTGTTTGAAGCTACAAATTTTCCTTCTCTAATTTCTCTATCATATTCTTATTTAAGTTTCAAGTGCCTTGCAGCAAAAGCGGTGTCTTATTTTATGCAATGTTCTTAAAAAGGCTTTATAATTAGTGGTAACAGTAGCAACATAAGTGCTGCTTTGATGACAGTGTTCTAAAAAATCACACATGAAATCTCTGAATCTCACTATCTTTTGGGCAAGAAGGTTCAAGTTAAGCAGAAAATAGGAATGACTTCCCAAGCTATATCACGTATTGACATAGGATTAAATTATATGTTACTTCAGAAAAATAGTTATTGTTACCATATGCGTCGACTGAAATTAAGCAAGGGAAAAATTACAATGTAAACTTCAAATATAAACATATCAACCCATCCATAGGGTATCATCATATCAAATGAAATCCTACTGTGTATAGTCTTGAAAAGTGGCTTTGTCCATTATTAAAGCTGTTTGCTTGCCACAGATTCTGTATGTGTTCTGAGTTTCCACTATTTATGGTAGGAAAGAAACACACAATATTATCCCACTGATCTAATTTGATAAAGAAAGCCATTACCCTAAATGGAACAAGAGGGAGGAAAAGGTTAGTAGAAACATAACTGCATCGATGACAAAAAGTGCATGGCTCTGTGAGATTTCCATTCCTGATTTTAACTACCAAAAAAAGTAATTCTGCTAGTTACTAGTATCAATGTCCTAGAGAAAGCACCTACAACCAGTATTCTAACAAAAAAAAACCCACCCAAATTTACAGGATTAATAAGAATTACTACTATTATGAATGTACGGATATCAGTTAAAGTAAGACATGAACAAACATAGAATCATAGAATGGTTTGGGTTGGAAGGGACCTTAAAGATCATCTAGTTCCAACCCCCCTGCCATGGGCAAAGAAATCCTCCACTACACCAGGCTGCCCAAAGCCTCATCTAACCTGGCCTTGAACACTTTCAAGGATGGGGCATCTACAACTTTTCTGGGCAACCTGTTCCAGTGCGTCAGAACACCTGAGCTTTCAGAACAGAACCGCCTTTGTACAGTATCTTTAAGCACCAGACAGTTTTTTCCTGTAGCTAACAGCTAATGCAATTGTTAAAAACCATTAGCATCTATCTTCTTCCTACACAGTACAAGGGAGCATAACTACACAAACGTGTATAATTTCTTGAACTCTAAGACAGATCCCAAAGATTCACTTTTCCTGAAAATAAATCAGGCGAATGATCTTATTTATTTGCCCCAAAAGCTGTGTGTAGTCCTTCAAAGCTCTCATTTCATTTACCAAACAGATTAAAAAATAAGTACATAATTTTGGTCTTATGCACTTATTACAAGTCACACCAGTTATTTCTCCTTCAGGCTGTATGCTGCCGTATGGAACTTCCCGCATCTTGATTATTGCTCTAAATGAGGGGGTTTTATTCTGGAAAACCCAAATCTATCCATTGGTAAAAGCTGCCACCTACTGGTCAATGAAAATTATTTTACACTGTCAAAGAAAAGAATTACATCAATGCAGCAAACTGTACTGGTACTTTGTAAAAAATCCTTCCCCACTTTTTTTTTTTTAAAAAAAAAAAAATAAAGGCAAGAACAAATGGTCATAAGAAATAGTTTCAACAGCAAGGCTCATTTTAATCATCTGCTCTCGTCCCCAGGGAACAAGAAGGCTGTAATTGCACAAACCTGCCAATAAAATCATCCTTTTTGCCAGCATCTTTGTCCCACACGGTAATATCAATAATTCCACCTCGTTCTTCATAGAGATGAAAGTCAAACTGCTCCCTCCACTGAGGATTCAAAGTTTTTGGCACAATCTGAAAGGAGAGCAAAAAGAAAGCCATATTTCATTGTGCAGGCATACACTTTCTTGAATTCTAAATTTGATCTTTAGAGTCCGTTCAGGAAGTTTTTTATATTTGCAGTATGAGTATCTTAAGCAGTGAGAATTAAAAAACAGGAATTAGAGGAGACTACTGTCCACCTCTCTCATGCCTCTTTGACACAACAGCAACCTCCAAAATCCTTCAACCTGTCACCTTCAAAAGCCTCCTGAACAAAGGATTTACCCTGGGAATGGATCCATTTTTCTGTAGAATAATTATGCCCTCTCTTGAGTGACAGTTAGCTGCAAAGTTATGTGTCTGAGCCTAAAGGAAAACAAAGCATCTGCAAGGACAAGTAGATGGTGACGGTAAGTATTTAAACAGAAACAATATTATCATGTCCTCTTTCACCACCTGCAGTAATATTGGGAGAAAAAATGATACTACGGTTTACTTTTTCACACAGAATCACACAGAATGTTAGGGACGGGAAGGGACCTCAAAAGATCATCTAGTCCAAACTCCCTGCCAGAGCAGGACCACCTAGATCAGATCACACAAGAACGCGTCCAGGCGGGTTTTGAACATCTCCAGAGAAGGAGACTCCACAACCTCTCTGGGAAGCCTGTTCCAGTGTTCTGTTACCCTTACTGGGAAGAAGTTCTTCCTCATGTTTAAGCAGAACCTCCTATGTTCCAGCTTATATCCATTTCCCCTTGTCCTGTCATTGGATGCCAGTGAGAAGAGCCTGGCTCCATCCTCATGACAGTCACCCTTTACATATTTATAAACATTAATGAGGTCCCCCCTCAGTCTCCTCTTCTTCAAGCTAAAGAGATCCAGCTTCCTCAACCTTTCCTCATAAGGGAGATGCTCCACTCCCTTAATCATCTTTGTGGCCCTGCGCTGGACTCTCTCAAGCAGTTCCTTGTCCTTCTTGAACTGAGGGGCCCAGAACTGGACACAATATCCCACATGCGGCCTCACCAGGACAGAGTAGAGGGGGAGGAGAACCTCTCTTGACCTACTAACCACACCCCTTCTAATACACCCCAGGATGCCATAGGCCTTCTTGGCCACAAGGGCACATTGCTGGCTCATGGTCATCCTGCTGTCCACCAGGACTCCCAGGTCCCTTTCCCCTTGTGCTGTTCCCCAACAGTTCAGTCCCCAACTGGTACTGGGTTGTTCTTACCCAGATGCAAGACTCTACACTTGCCCTTGTTGTATTTCACTAAATTTCTCCCCGCCCAACTCTCCAGCCTGTCCAGGTCTCTCTGAATGGCAGCACAGCCTTTAGGTGTGTCAGCCACTCCTCCCAGTTTAGTGTCATCAGCAAACTTGCTGACCATGCACTCTATTCCCTCATCCAAGTCATTCATGAATGTGTTGAACAATACTGGTCCCAGTACTGACCCTTGAGGGACTCCACTGGATACAGGCCTCCAACGGGCCTCTGTCTCACTGCCCACTACTCTCTGGCTTCTATCCTTCAGCCAGTTCACAATCCACCTCACTATCTGATCATCCAGACCACACTTCCTCAGTTTAGCTGCGAGGATGCCGTGGGAGACTGTGTCAAAGGCTTCACTGAAATCAAGATAGACCACATCCACTGCTCTACCATCATCCACCCACTGGGTGATGTCCTTATAAAAGCCTATCAGGTTTGTCAAGCACGACTTCCCCTTAGTGAAGCCATGCTGACTGCCCCTAATGACCCTCTTATCCTTGATATGCCTAGAGACAGCACCAAGGATAAGTTGTTCCATTATCTTTCCAGGGATGGAGGTGAGGCTGACCGGTCTATAGTTACCTGGGTCTTCCTTCTTGCCCTTTTTGAAGACCGGAGTGACATTTCCTTTCCTCCAGTCCTCAGGCACCTCTCCCGTTCCCCATGACTTAGCAAAGATGATGGCGAGTGATCTGGCAGTGGTCTTTTTATGGAATAATTTTTTTTTCCAAAACTGTATGTTACTTCCTTTCCTTTGCAACTCAAGATGAAAGCAACGTTGCCCATCATTTTCAGCCCCATTACTTCTGACAAAAGAAATCCACGTACACCTGACCATGCTCTGCAGAACAGAAAGCTTGCAGGATTTCTGTCATAATACAAAAGCAGCAGTCACAGGAGTCACACCCATCCGGAGCAACAATGGAAACAGGCCAGTACCTTCCTTATGAAGCAATTGCTACTTTCCATGTCCACCAGTTCTACTGGCTTAAAAAAATGGAGAAATCAGAGAGGATCAAAATGCAGAAATGCTATGAAAATTTTAAGTCACAAAAACATGAAGTTTGAGTTCTTCTAATTTCAGATTAAGAGGCTCTAAGGTGGGCTCAGAGGTCTGCAAACGTGGCACCTCAATGCTCCTGGCCTCTTCCTCGCTCTGCCCTTCACCTGGCTATGAAAACCACACAGGCTATTGTGGCCTTTGAGAGATGAATGTCATGTGCATCATTGGCAGTCCCAGCATCCTCCATAAATAGCAATTATCAAACCAATATGAATCAGGGAAACAAAAAATAATAGCAAGAAAGCCAAGCAAGTCTCCACAATCATTTTCTCCCTGATCAATCCTCTCTACCTGTTAATCTCATACGCCTACAAAACTGAGGAGAAGGACTTGGGGGTGTTGGTTGATGAGAAGCTCAACATGAGCCAGCAATGTGCGCTGGCAGCCCAGAAAGCCAACCATATCCTGGGCTGCATCCAAAGCAACGTGGGCAGCAGGTTGAGGGAGGTGATTCTGCCCCTCTACTCTGCTCTTGTGAGACCCCCCCACTGCAGTGCTGTGTTCAGCTCTGGGGCCCCCAACATCAGAAGGACATGGAGCTCTTGGAGGGGGTCCAGAGGAGGCCACGAAGATGATGCGAGGGCTGGAGTATCTCTCCTATGAAGACAGACTCAGAGAGTTGGGGCTGTCCAGCCTGGAGAATAGAAGGCTCCAGGGTGATATTATAGCAGCCTTCCAGTACTTAAAGGGGGCCTACAGGAAAGCTGGAGAGGGACTTTTGACAAGGGCATGTAGTGACAGGACAAGGGGCAGTGGCTTTAAACTGAAAGAGGTTAGATTGGATATAAGGAAGAAATTCTTCACTCTTAGGGCAGTGAGGCACTGGAACAGGTTGCCCAGAGAAGCTGTGGCTGCCCCATCCCTGGAAGTGTTCAAGGCCAGGTTAGATGAGGCTTTGAGCAACCTGGTGTAGTGGAAGGTGTACCTGCTCACAGCAGGGAGGTTAGAACTAGATGATCTTTGATGTCCCTTCCAACCCAAACGATTCTATGATTCTAAGATTCTAGGGTTTAATGAAACATGTTGTAAGGACACAATGAGGAAAGTGAGAATATAAGCATTTACATGGAAAATCAGGTGTGCCTCCCTGCCACCCTGCATTTTTCAGTGCTACATTTTTCCCCATATAGGAATATTTTTGCTTACAATGAAATTTAAAAAAGACATCTAAACAAATGTCCAGATGCTCTGACAGCTAATTAATACAACTATAAATCTCCATCACTATTTAAATAGGCACACAAGGCAAAAAAAGAACACCAACAGGAACAAAGCATTTCAAACACAGGTCACAGCTAAAATTACCTTGCTCTTGTACTTCTGATGCCCCAACCGGAACTTCACATAAGGATCACTTAGTCCATTTGCATCCATTGCCTTAAGTTCACGACCTTCTATTAAGGTAACACTAACTATCCCTCTCCATAGCTGAGATTTTCTGTGCAGGTCTGAGAGACGTAAGCTCTGGGTCTGAAACTTTAGGGAAATAAAAACATAGATTTAGTAAAAATAATTCCAAAAATTTCCCTGCATTTTAATGCACCATGTTATGTAAATATGAGTGTAAAATAACCATCTTAAACCACTCTGAAGCTATTTGACAGTGCATAATTAAACTGTATTATAAAGAATTTCTTGGAGAGAAACAAAACAGTGACAGATACGCAGGTAACATCACATGTTGGTTTTGAAGAAGCAAGCAGAACAAATGCTACTTAAGGAAATGTTCCGAAGGCAAAAAAAAAAAAGTGTTTTTTCCTGCTTCACTTCTGCCTCTGCTGATAAAACTAATATTACAAATAAATGTTACGAAACCTCTTATATTAGTAGCATATGATTGAATGAACATGAACAAACGCTAAAATAAACATGAAAAACAGTGAGAAGATGAAACTTCCATCAAAATAATATAAATCCACTATGAAAATCATGGACCAAGGAAAAACAAGTCAACAAACTGTGCACATGGCAGCTATCTCAGCCTCTAAAATGACGTAGTGTTCTCAGAAACACCAAGGAAAACTGAATTAAATACCAACACTTCAGTTCTAGAGTTTCAAAACGAGACGTTGCAGAGCCTCTGATCAGAACTGTGGGGAAACTATGATCTCTCAGCCCCTGACTTTGCAGTTTAAAAGAAAATTCACAGGCACACACAGAAAACCAGATGGCCACAGCATTCATCAATGAACTCCACCGGGTATGGGAGAGTGGTGGGTTTATAAATTTGAGAAACTTAAAGTCAGCTCCAGCTTGTCCTGAGCTACTGAGGGTACGAGGTACTGCCAGGGGGCTCCAGAAATGGGAAATCACATTCACACTAGTGAGGAAAACGCGTCTTGGGTGCATCTGAGGAGCAAGGTTGCCAAAGGCTCTCCCTTTTAGTCTGAAATTGTATCCATTCAAGGTTACCTTATATAAAATCAGGACACTAGATGGTTAAACAGTATTCAAACTCACAAATTACTCTTTCTAGAAATCAAAAAACCCCATCTCTACACGGATACTCAGCTGTAAATACATCAAATATACATGCATTTCCCTTATTATGGGATGTAATTTGGGCAACAAAAGCTTGCTGAGCTCAGCAGCCCTCCATAAAATAAAACTATGTTGCGTGGTTGGCTTCACCACTTGCATACCTCCAGCATCTCTGTTAGAGGTTTTCAGCACAAACTTGGTTTGAGTCTTTCAGAAGGTAAACAGCTACGCAAGTGCCCAGGGCAGGAATTTTACTTTATTTCCCAGAAAAGAGTATTGAAAGTACACTGGAGTATAATCACTGGATCATAATCTGCCCTCACCAGACTCTAGAGAGAAGTGTGATACACGAGGACTGTGGCCACTGGGGTTGGAACAAATCTGAAAAATACACTTTTAGCAGTACTTCAGATATCATATTGGCATATGTTTATAGTTTCTAATGGCTATTCATTCCAACGAGTGTATTTCACTGTATTTATTAAAGATTTCCTGTAGTGAAGGATTTGACTGCAGAGAAACTTCTCCCAAAAATTATTTCCCTAAAAGCAAACAAGGAACTGCAGACTTCAGCTGAGAAGTGGAATAACCTGTAACTTAACCTGTGACATGAAGAAGCAGTGGGACAGCAGAAAGCAGAAACTCTACAAAAAGTAGTGGGAAATTCAGTTGCCAGAAAATATTTCATTTACAACATGGGAACATTATTAAACTCCATTAATCTTAGCACAAATAGTCCTTCGTCGGGTGTATATAGTCAACACTGCCAAAGACTCGTCCTGTGAAGAAGTGGTAATTTTTTTTTCTTGTTCCTGTCACTTAGAAGGTTTAGAGCAAAAGACAGACTGAATAGTAAATAACCAAAACTGACTCTGCCCTGAACATAAGGCGATACAGAAAGAAGAGACAAGGCCCATTTAGGAAGATATTTCATACTAGGATAGAAGTAGTGGTTAGCTGAGACTTATTTTGGCAAAGAATACATAGCTGTTGGGGTTTTTTTTTAAGAGTTGAGTGGGAATCCAAATGATTTCCAGGCTACTATCATGGAAAATAACCATGAGTTTGCATTTACAACTCTCTTAAAGTAAAGCTTAAGCATAACTGCATAGCTCTCTACTTCACTAATCACAAATGAGGCAGTGAACCATTTAGAGAGCATACTTGATCTAAAATCCGTATTTTCAATGGCTCTTAAAATAATTTGCTGCATTAGAACAGCTGCCACCACATAAAACCTGCTGATTTTTTATGACCAGTAAGGAGTTTCATCAAGGAGGTAATTTACATACAAGGTGGTAAGGCAAGATCTGCACAGCCACGCACAGACAGCAGTTTACAAAAGCCAGGTAGAAATCCTGTGTTGCTGGGGAAAGCCCTTTTGGGTCAGAGCCAGATCTCAGGGTCTTTGCAAAGCTCCTCACAGAGCCCAGCAGTACGTTGAACAATAGGGAAGCTGCAGAGTCTACATCTCAGTCCAGCTGGCTGGAGTTAAAGCCATTAAGATTTCCTGGACATGAAAGGCATGGGCTATGTGGTCTTCTCCAGCAAGAATAACTTTCAACTGGTATTTTTCTTGTTTCCAAGCAAGACTGAACGGTATCTGAACAGATATCTAAAACACACTTTCCTTCCAGTCAAAGTCATCCTTATCCTTAGAAATTACAGATAATAATCTCTAATTTCCTATCATTTTCTTGTGGGAAGTAAGATAAATAAATATGAATGTTTAGCTTTCAATTCAAATTCAACAAAAAAAATAATAGATGAAAGAATGGGAAGATAAGACTGGTTTCACATTTTAGAGTTCTTCCCTTACGAAGTTCATTTCACAGTGTGAGACAGGTACATCATTTCTAGGTAAGTTCTTAGGTATCTAAGCAACGTTCTGTAATCCATCCCACAGTGAGTTCGTTACAAAGTCAGAAGGGAAACTGTGAAAGTAAAACAAAGAAATGAGCACAGATCTTTGCAAATATATCATATGAAGGAATATTTCTCAGGAGTAATTCTTAGGCAACTTGTCTCCCTCAGAAAGCAGGTGGCACATTTTGCATTCTGGCTTCACTCTTCAGCCACAAACAGACAAAAACATGAAGAAACTGCACGGCTTTTAATTTCTCTGGGAATAGGTGGTAAGTTATATGTTTCATACTATTCCATCTGAAATTGGCCATACCATCTATACAATACCACAATTTGGAAAGAAGCAAGGTCAAGATCTCAGGCCACAACTGACTGTCATTAAAGTGGGATTATTATTCACATTCTTGTGCATTTATATGCAGGCACGGGCACCCCCATCTGCCATGTTCTAAACCAAAAAAAAAAGGAGGGGGAAGGAAAAAAGCAAAGAAGTTGCAGCCTGCATACTGTGAAGCTTTCTCCCTCTCTTTTCCCTGAAGGAAATTAAAATTAGACTTCTGAAAAGGAGTCTTTCTTATCAAAGGACACTCAAAGCTGCCTGTAAAAGAAAAGTTAACTTTTTTTTTGCAAACTAGCATTTTCTTACACAATAAAATCAGTTTTTATTTCTGTTCCACCTGTTCTATCTAAATGTAGGGCAGTGAGAGGTCTAGAGATGTCAATAGCAGAAAATACCCAGAACTGTGTACTCTATTAGATATGATTAATATAGTTGGCCAAATACAACGTCAGAGCTGAAAGATGACCATACAACATGGGTTCATGTTCCGTATCGCTAGGCAACACTACTGGGTGGGAAACCAACTAGGATTAGTCAGAATCTGGTCATCATTCCCAGGTTCATCAAGACCACGTTCTTGATGAGTGCCTTAGTTGCCACAACTTTATTGTTACTTTTCTCAAAAGAAGAGATGCCTTTAGTAAGTACTTTTGAAAATCCCGTAAGTATTTAAGTTTATCTTTGGGTACCTAATTGATCTTTGAAACTCCAGCCCACAACGAGTTGGAGAAATCCCACGATCTGTCCTCTCCCAGCCTGACCTCACATCTTCATTGATCTGTCCTCACATCCAGTGAAGCATCACCTCTCTCACTTGCACATGCCTCTGCCCATGCAAACAGACTCTGCTTTTACTAAATCTCCTCCTTGTTTCACACACCACTAGGACACACTCCTCCTCCTCTCTGTCCTTGAACACAAAATCTGTTGTTCGAAAATAACTGAACAATATATAGAAATAGAACAGTGTGCCATGAACTCATTTAAAAAAAAAAAAAAGTTTTAAAAAGCAAACGAACAATGCAGCAACATATCCTAAAGAGGCATCTCTATCCAAAGAATTACTTCAGCTTAGAAGCTTTAAATAAAACACCAATCAAGAAAATAATGAAAGAATGTATGAGAGAATGATACTCCTCTCCATTGCTGAGCAGAGGCCAGACGTACAAATACAGCACAGTGAATCAAAGCCAGTGTTGTAAATGATTGCTGCAAACTCAGTAAACAGAACTATTCTCCCTCCGTTTCTAGGACGCTTGCATGGCTTTGATAAAACACTTAAAGATTGAGAATGTCAATAGACACAGCTGCTACTTCTACATACCTTGTCTGCACGATGAAAAAAATCAAGGGGCAGTCATATGCTTTTCCTCTGTTAGAAACTACACAAAGTATAGTTGTGTCCCTTGACTATCTTGCAGAAGTCATCAACATGTAGACGCTGAGCTACAAAAATGCCTTCACTGGGATCATGACGATTCCTCTTTGATGTCTGCTTGTTGTGACGGTGCACGTCTTAGAAACGGACTACTACTGATCATTACTGCAATATGAAGCAACATTTCCCTTATCTTCCTATCAACTGTATTTTACATTTTAGGATATTTTAATTCTAGGTGAAGCTAATCTAAACCTCTGTAGTCAAGAAGTTTACGCTGCCCTATACCCCGTGTGTTTTCAGTATGACTGCCACGATAAATCCCGTTTAGGATCCTTCCTCCAGCAACTCGATATTGTCACAGTGGTAGCAACCTTGGTGAGACTACAATATTTGTAATACGAGCTGATACTTTTTTAGCATTTCCCGCATTTTTGTGGTTTGCTAAATCCAACAATTGTGCATTCTACTGAAGTGCACTTGCTGCAGCCAGCTGAGGTGTAACGTGATGAAAGCTGTGACTCTATTAAGCACTCGCTATGACTTGGATTTTCTGGAAAAGGGTGGAATTTTTATATGAGACAACGGTGTGCTGGCAGGAGTTGTCAGAGAGGCTGTGTCAGTATGATCCTAACCTTCACCCCTGTCTTCCTCCCAGCAACACTTCACGGAAAGGGATCAGGTCTCCTGATGAACCTGTTACTGCCCAGGATGACCAGTGGCACCACGATCCTAACGCCGACGTGAATGTGAGACACAGAATGACAGTGGCCACCGAGACTTGACGGAAGCTCCCTGTACTTTTGGAATTGCAGGCATGAACCCAGAATACCCGTCACCAAAATGCTACTCTGCTGTTTTGATTGTTAACAGTATCAGCTGTTATCACTCACATACGAGTAATGCAAATATCAGCCTCACCAAATATTTGCATAATTTTTATAACCAGATGTCTAACAGACAGATGTATCTATTCTGACGTTTTTCACTTCTATTCCATTATTTAGTAGCTTTCCATCAAGCACTATTTACAGCCGATAAACTGACATCTAGAACCTCACGGCTTACCAAAGCAAATATTTTCTCGGTCTTAAAAGATTCTCCTTAAAATCCCAAATCCAACAATTCTACCTTCTATTCTGAAATTCAATAGAGTTTTGGTTGAAAGATTCTGGCTGGAAGCTTGAAAAGACTGCAAATTCCTTCATTTAAGAAATATCATACAATTCTATGCTTCTGCTTGTTTTTGCAATCCTTAGACTATGATTTGCTATTTCCAATTTTATTCTCTCCTCAAGAGGCAGTAAAAAAGCATTTGTTTTGATTTTAAAACACAAAAAATAAGACTTCATAAGACGTTTGATATTAGGAAAGGTAAATCAGGAGTCATTGAAATGAAATATTTTGAGTTGGGTATAAAAGCATCAGTTAGTAAGGGCATAGCTTTTAGCACTTTAGTTTGTGCAACTGGAACACACATATTTTTAGAAAAACTTCTGAAATAATTTACAAAACCAGTCAACGGTTGGAAGACGAAAGCTTTACATTTTGCTGTCCATTTTTGTTTAAAATGTTCATAACACTGT